AGAGCAGAGTAAAGGGGCAGGATCACCTCCTTCGACCTGCTGGTCACACTCCTTTTGATGCAGCCCAGGATACAGTTGGTTTTTTGGGGTACGAGGGCACACTGAAGCTGGCTCATGTTAAGTTTCTCGTTGGCCAAAAGTTCTTTCAGTGATGTGCATCACAGGAGATCCAGACACTGCAGTACGTTGTAGATTTAATTTTCATTATTGTTTCTTCCAGGAGAAAGGCAGGATCATTGTTTTGCTTTCGAGCCCTGGGTCAAAGGCTGTGTTTTGATAGCTGCACTGAACATACAAAACTATTCTCATATGGGTTTATTTCTGCAGAGTTTTATGATGAAGATAACAAAGCAAGACCCCTGGATTGGACTCTGTAAAAGAAATGAAGAGTTCTTTTGGGTAGATGGGAAAGCGTTAGACACTACACTGTAAGTCAATGTTGAGGGGTTTTGCTGGTGATACTAGATTATAGGGGAGTAAGGAAGGATAACTAAATCCTTGAAAGAAAGAACTGTAGTGATGTTGAAGGGATGACTATGGAGAGAGCATGGAATACAAAAAAGATTTCACTTAGCATTGTTAAAACTAAACCAAATGAATGTTAGAATCTAAATTTGTGATGCCAGGTTCAGAAGCAACAAAGGAACCACCAAGATAGCAAAGCGATGAGGAGGAAGAATTACAGTAATACAAATTCCTCATTATAGAATACATTTTGCAAAAGTGCAAACCTACATGCAACCTGCACGAGGTTTATAGCTAATTATTTGGGAGGCTTTTAAGATGTTTTCCTGCTTCCTATAGGATGTGTCTACAGAAAAGGCTGCTGGAGGGAAAGGTGAAGCTGTGAATTTATGTTACATGAGCTGCTCTGTGGTCATGGCCCTGTCTTCTATCCCACCAATGGCAGGCCTGGGGAGGTTTGGTCCTCCTCCCAGTGGCTGTCCCATCTTCTCAGAGATTGCCGCTTCTTGTCCTGGGCGGCTGCTGGCAGGAGATGGTAGAATTACCGGTGGCAGTAATAAGCATTGAGATTTCAAAAGCCTGAAATTAACTTAAAAAGTGGAAAATTTAAATACTTTTAAGTTTGTGACAAGACTAGTGGTATGTGACTGTATTCAGTCCATTTCCAAGACTTGAGGGCTTGATCTGATAAAGACCTTACACATTTAATGTGAGATGTGAGCAACACCTAGGCATCTCAAGTTGAAAATTGTAGCCTTTCCTACTCTTGCTTATCCCCTGCCTGTGATACAGACATCCACTGAGGCTTTCATTTTCAGTGATGAAGTTCACATTCTTGGACTTCTGCTTCTGTGCTTGCCTCAGAATCCCCCTTCCATCTTTAGAAAGGCAAACATTTTAATGTCTAAGCTCAGTTGCTGCTGCTGTTACGTTAACACTGGCGGGGTTTGTCTCTTGGCTTTTCCAGAGACCACAGTAGTTTGGTTGCACTATTCACAGAATACTGTCACACTTGGTTTGAGAACAGAAATGGCAAAGAAGACCCTTACCCCTTATACAGGGACACCTACAGTGTGGAAATTGAATTTTGCTTCCTGTTTTCCACCACCCTCTTAACCATAGTACAATGTTCAGTTCTGAGGAAGAGGGAAATGAGAGAAGCATTTGTTTCCCAGCTTGTATTGGGATGTTTTAGCTGTATAAAAGGATGTGGAAGTCAAAGGTGGAGCCAGTCTTGATAGGACAGCGTCCTTGAGAAGGGCAAACCTGAATTCCAGTCTCTGCAATACGGGCATATTTGACATTAAGCGACCACTAGACAAGATGGGGGAGTACTGCAAGTCCTAGATTTTGTATTCTGGTGGCCAGGTCCCATTAGAAAAAGATGATCTTAGTGGTGTTCTCTTCAAAGCACAAGCTACCATCCTGTGATGCCTTGACTATGGTAAATCAGGCTTTGTACAAAGAGAACCTGTGATCCTGAAGTTCTCTTTGCTTTATTGCATTACTTGATTGTGGGTGTCAAAGTAATTGTCTTTCATTCTCTTATACAGGATTGAAGTAAAAGGCTCTGGAAACTGTGCCTATCTTGAATCCAAAGGAGTCTCGGCCTCTGGATGTTATTTAACCAGGAAGTGGGTCTGTAGTTTGAATATTGGCTTATCAGGATAAAGGGGGATGAAGCTACCACACCTGATACTTGGTGCTCTGATGTCTGCACAGACTATGTCTATACTCTGGGACCTGGGAACACATCTCAGCTCCTGCTTGTAGGTGAATGGCTTTTCTGGTAGCCAGAATTCTGCACCCATGGAGGAAGCCTCTGTTGTTTAAACGTAACCATTTAAAAGGCTTCAGCATCTTGATAAGCCATTTCATTGCCCCATTTTTCTAGCTACCACTCATCCTGTAGGTGCCTTTTGATGTGTTATCAGTATTTCTTCCATTAACTCTTCTCTTGTAGGATCAGGAGCAACTGCTCTTTTCCTTTTTGTTGTGCAGTCGGAGGTGTTTGTTCTGCATTTTCCTTAGCCAACCTCTGTGTGCAGGGATGGGTTGTGAAGTGTGGGTCTGCCTGAAATTCTGCAGTGCCTCTCAGATACAGGGTGATGCAGAAATGAGCACTGTTGGTTTGGACAGGATCATTGCAGATTCTGCTCTCCCAGTTTGATGAGGTGCATCTTGTGTGACTCTGCATTATATTGTGTTTTGTTAATGTTATTTTACATTAATCTTGCTAAATTAGCTTGACAGTATTAACACTGTGGGATTTATGTAGCTGCACTACATAACCTGAGGTTCTCCTTCCCACAGCAAAAAGAAAAGTCAGGATAGATAAGAGTATTCACCTGAGCATCTGCATGGATGGGGAAGAAGTTTGAGTTGAAACAGTAATAGTGAAGCTGCAGGCATTAATGTTGTAAAGTTAGCTATAGTTTTCAGTGCAAATAGGCGAAGTCATGAGTAAGGAATAAAAGAATTAACAGCAAAGGATGAATAAGAGAATTGAGAGAAAAGGATGTTCCTCCGCGGCTTTCTCATGGCCTGTGCCTGTCTGAGCACGAGGGTGGACAATCTATTTTCTGGAAGAACAGTAAGTGTTTTCTTCTGTGTGCATATTGTTTTCAGCAGCAACATCCCATGCTGTTGAATTGCTATGAGCCTTAAAGGAACTGAGGCACAATCCCGCTGAACCCTGTCCACTCGTGTCTAGCAGGTAACCTGAAGATTTAAAGTGCACTTTGACCCAGAGGAAGCAAAGCAGCTGGTTTTCCTGGAAGGACTACTCCTATCGGGTATCTAGAGAAGGAAAAAATGGGAAATTCACGTGTAAAGCAGGGCAAAAGAGCTTCCTTGCTCGGCATAAAGTCCGGACTGTTGTTTTTCTTGTGATGTGGATGCTATGGAGAGGACTATGGGCTCTGTGGGACTTCTTGAAGGAGCAAGTGGAGCAATTTTTGGAGTAGCCACTAGAGTGCACTGTAGTTCCAGAAAAGGGAAGCTAATTGCGTCTTCTCGATTGCTGAGAATGTAAAACTGCACCATGTTTGACAGCTCATTTGATGTATGTTTGTTCGTTGGGTTTTCTTGTCCTATTTGTCATTATTTTTGCCTTTACTGTGTTTTTATGCAGATTTAATTTCTGTTTACTTTTGTTCAGCATCTTGTTTATGGCTTCGTTATTTTCTGTGGCAATGGGACCTTGCTGTAACAGGACCATGCAGTATGGTTATTGTTAACAACTGACTTTACTATGGTTATTTATATCTGAGCACTAATTTTGCTGAGCTACCCTTTTAATAATTGCTTATATTCTTTATAGGCACAGTAACAGGACTCTATGGTCTGAACAGCCTAATAATCTATGTGTTAATTTATATGTAACTAGTTGGGGAGGTGTTATTCTGCAATCCTTTTAACTTAACTAGCTCTGAAGGATATGGTATGTGCAATAGTCCTGAAAAGGTACTTACTAAATATCTTTACAGAGCCTCTGAATTACAGTGGTTTGTGTCTTAGTATGGTGCCATTAACAGTATTTTTTTAGCTCAGGTACCATATGGGGGAAAAGAAAATCACCAGACTAAAGCAAAAAAGTTCAGGTTTTGAATATGAAAAGATCTTCAGTCATAATGTTGGCATTAACAGGAGACAAGACATTTCACCCAAAGAAGAGAGCATCTTACTTTCTAACGCTTCTGACACACTTTCATGTTTCAGAATGTGTCAGACTTTTAACAAAAGCATGTAACTGAAATGCTGAAGTACTCCTGTGGAAACTGTGCTGAAATGTACATAGAGAAACGCACAAACTACAGTAACCTTGGAGGGAAAGGTGGAATTTTCTGCGTTTGTTCTTGTAAGGTTTTCTAAATATTTGCATTAGGGGCATACTAGAGGTACATTTCACAGAATCAGTGGAAATCGTAAGGGATAAGGAGTATTCATGTACCATGTTGTGTCTTAGCCTTTCTTAATGAACTGATTTACCTGAATGTTGCCTTTAACTACAAAATAACATCACTTTTGCATTTCTTTTCCATCAGTGTCGTCTATAGGTAGAGTCCAAAAAAAGGGAAATTTTGGTTCTTAAAAGAGGTTTTGGAGCAACTGTGAGCACAGTAGGTTATAATGAAAGCTCTGTTGTAATCTTAAGGGGTGCAGTTAGCATCTTCTTCAGTATCCAAAGTCTGTCATGCTAAGAAATGAAGGGTCGAGAACTAATGATCTAACTTTACTCAGAGTAGGGTTTGATGAAGTACTTCAGTGACCATTTCTTTTTTTTTAATTGGTGGAATTACTCAAGACCTAGTGACTGTTTAAAATGTCAGTAAGAGCTTCCTAAGGCCCTGCAAAAACATGTTTAATTATGTTAGTAACAGAGATTGCTCAAATACTAGATGTTTCATGAATATTGTTAAAACCTAAACACCAAAACCAATTAGAGAGAAGGCAGCTCGGGAGTTTTAAGTTTTTCTTGTTAATTCAGCATGGCTCAAGAAACATCTGCCATAAAACCAGCAGTTCAGTGGTGAAGGATATGCTTTAAGTACCTTGAAGTTATATTTCCTCAACTGGAATATATCTATGTAAAAATACGTATGGACAGATATGTATACTGTAGATAGATAGATATATCTTACTCATTTCAGGCTCTTCCCTTGCCTTTGCTTGTCTGTTTAGAATAAACAAACCACTCCTTTTCCCCAAACACATGCTGCACTGAATTTGGGGGATTTTTCACTGTTTTTTTTTTAACATGAGAAAACCAGTTTTTCAAATGAGTCTTTAGCTGGTGATGCTGCATTCTGGAGGGAGTAATTCTGTGTTGTTTATTCATTTGAAAAGAAGTCAGCCACCCTGAAGATACTGTACTGTTCAATCTGTAGCCCCAAAGTAATGAAGATCCATTGTGCTGTGCCAGTGGAACACAGCAGACTGTGCTTGGTATCTCTTTCACTGAAGATCTCTTATGCCTTTTTAACTCTCACTTATACATGCCTACTACCTTCCTAGCATCTCTGTCCTAGCACCTCTGTTAAGTGCAATGTTGCCCATCAATGTGTGCAGATGGAGAGGTGTCAGTCTCTAGGTCTTACCATATTGCTCGTTTTGTTCCATAGCTGCAGTCATTTGCATGCAAAAGCCATAGGACTTTATACCAAGAGCTCATGTGCAAGCAAGCATGTATGTTGGTTACTCATCACAAGTTGCTAGACATTAACCACATCCCTCCACAGGGACACTACACATCTAGTGCAGGTATGAGACAATGTGCCTGGGAAACTGCAGCTGCCTTTAATTGTGTGTATCACAGCAAAGATGAGATAAATGCTTTAAATTTCAAAAGCCATGTTGGACTTGTTTCTCTCTCTCATTGTTAACAAAGACTCTAATTCCAGTCTGTGCAGTTGTGGCAGAGTTGCAGCTTGGATTTTAATGCTAGATTTTGTTTTGCTCTCTTTCCTCCAAACACAACTAATCCCATATGGTTAAGGTAAAAAGTACATGAAATTATAGTAAAACTCTGGAAATTTAGAATCTCCCGTTGACTGGCCCTGAAATTATTGCATAAATTCTAGGAAATGAGTAAGAATTCAGCTTCTAATTTCTTGCGCATCACACAGTTCAGGTGCACAGTGCTCATCTTCACATGAGTACCTCTTCTCCCTTGCCTTTTCCCAGAGGCAACTGCTGCCAGTGACTGTCTGTGAGAAGGCTCAGCACCCCCAGATCCAGACATGCTGATGTGCAGTCCTGTTGCATGACCTTCACACAGGCACCTGGCAGCTTCCGAGTTCCCTGTTTGCATCCAAACAAAAGTCTTAGGGATCACAGAACAGCAAAATACAGATTTCTGTGGAAATCTCTTAATTATTTACATCACATGTTGTTTTATCAGTAAAATGGGTCTTCTGAGAGAAAGCTCTGCCTGTTGGCTGATGATTGGGGGTTGGAACTAGATGATTTTAAGGTCCTTTCCAACCCAAACTATTCTGTGATTCTATGATTTGGCTCAAAGCACCAACAAAGTTGCATTCTTCTTACAGATCCACTTCTTTAAAGTCTGGCAGTTATCTACTTGGATCATGTTTTTTCTTCTGTAAACAGCACAGTTCTTGTCAGTCTCAATTCTCTTTATAGCTTTCCTGGTGAGAGAACAAAAGGAATGCAATGAGTTGACAGCTTTAAATTCAGTACCGAATAAAAATATTGATGATACTCTGAGTGAGGGGTTTGTGTGGTACCCAGTCTGTAACCTGCTGAAGCCCAGTTCCTCAACAGCCATGCATCGGTGGGATGAGCATCCACAGCAGAGATGACTGCAGGCTGCTGAGGGATGTATGCTCAGGAACATTAGTGTAAGAAGGATAAAGAAAGACTCCACATGCAGCCATGGTGATAAACTGTAATGGTAAGAGATCTGCTGCACAGATCCTAGCATCCATGCTATGTGACAGGCATCACTTTCAACAGAGGTGGTCAATATATGGTCTGTAAAGTCAGTTGAGTCTGTTGATAGCGATATCAGTGGGAGAAGTGTGTGTTAATGTCCCTCTACATTCATACATACATGAATTGTGACTGTGGTTGGTCTTGCAGGCAAAAACCAGATGTTTCCAAAGATGCCCAGCAGGACCCAGACAAGCTGGAACTGGCTGTGAAATAGACCCTGAATAGGTGCCTGACGCTGTAGGACTAGATCTGTGCTTTGGGAAAGTAGCTTGGATTCAGAGTTGAATTTCCATGCAAAGTACTATACTTTTGCTATTGCCAAAGACAGCACACACACACAAATCATGACCTGTTTTCTTTTACTCCAGGGTCTTCAACTGAACTCCATTGTTTCTTCATTTCTGGAATCTTCAAGCCAATCCAGATATATTTGGTATCTTTCTCTTTATTGTCTATGAATTCCTGTGGAACAAGCAGAAGCATGTTATCCAACAGTAGAGCGTTTCTGCTGTGCCCAAGTCACGATCCTATCTCATGCACAGCTTTTCATGTAGTCCTTCACATGGAGAGCAACGGCAGGAATCCAGCTGTGGCAAAGCAGCCCATTACAATGGCCCATACGCATGTGACCAGCCACAGTTTTAATCCCAGTTGGCGCTCAGGTTAACTAGCTTCAAAAAACCCCTCAGTGATGCTCCTCACCCTGATGAGCCAGGTTGCAAAGCCTGGGCTTTAGGGTGAGACCTGTTCCTCAGGGAATTCTGAGTTTCTCAGAAGAGCCATTCAGCTACTTTTCTCAAAGGAAAATGAGAAACAGGTCTGGCTGTTTGTATTCTCATTTAGTGGTTGAATCAGACCTCTCTTCCCAGAGCCAACTAATGGAAATGGGTGGGAATTCCCTGCCATTTCCTCCTCCTGGTCAAAAGTACTCTGGTTTCTACCCTTGCATCTCTTGTGCCTCTCCTCTTTAGCTCTACTCTCTTGACACTCTCAAAACAAGCTCCTGTCTGTGGAGAGTCAGATGCTTTGCACGTGATGGGGCTCTCACTTGCCTGCATGTACACCTGACATTTGGCCTATGTTCACCTGGTGAAATGTTTGGCTAAGGCAGATACCCATTGCACAATTTTAGGGCTGCTGAAAGACTCACCATTTCAATTTCATCTTCAATAACAAGAAGCTGGGATTTCCTGGCCAGACAGTTTTTCTGGCTATCATCCCAGCTTACAGCCTCCTCAGAGAAGTAGTAACATCTGCTCCTGTGCAGTTGCCACCCAGGAGGACACAGCTCGCATGTTCTTCCTGTGAGTGGAGAAAGGGAACAGTTAGCTCGCAGAGTGACTTGTTCCATTTGCCTTGTAGCATTTTATGTTCATGTGCCTGGGTAGCATGAAAGCAGCCTGTCCCCATTCCCAAGCCTATGTTCACTGGGTGTAGAGAGATATTTGAAGGCTCCAGTGCCATTCCTCTGCTCAAACTCCCACTCCCTTGCCATGGTGCTACGTGCTTCTGCACTCCCATTGCGCATCACTGGGCTCTCCACCTCCCTGGGCACCTGCCCGGTGGAGAGCATCAGCAGGAAGTACATAGAAGGCTGACAAGACACTTTTCATCTCCCCACATGCAGTCCCTCTGAGGAGACACTGTGTGATGTGGAGTGTGTGGATTTGACACATGATGTGACCAGAAAGCACAGGTGCTTATCCAAACCGTGTCCATGGAGCTGGAGAAAGAACATCCCCCATTATTTCCTTTAATGTTTACAAGCAACGCAGTTACAATCAGTTCTTAGAAAAGGATTGGTATTTGATAGCAAATAATAGATCCACAATAGAAAGACCACAAATTCTTCCCCTTCCTGATCCTTGCAAAAGGATAGGAAATTACCTCCCACTTATTGCAATTACTGTCTGAAAGGTGTTTTCCCGAACAATGGGAGGATCTACAAGATACGGCATTTCTGACAGAAGCTCCTGGCAGAAATAAATGTAAAGAAAGTACCAGAAAGTATTTATACCAAAAGAGGATCAAAACTATTGTCATAAACTGTTAATTCAGATCCTGTCATCACTTCTGTGCAGAATGCCATGTTCCCTGGGTAGAATCAGTGAGTCACCAAAAACTGCAGAGTGTCAGAGAAACAGGAACAGAGACAACAGAATTGTGCACCCAACACATCCTCTGTGCTGGGAAAGGACTAACTTTCCTCACCCTGTCCATCTTCACACAGTTCCTCCATGAGCCATTTCAGGAGCACTGCCAAGACAGTCTTCTCTGAGGAGGTGTGATTGCCAGTGCTATTTACACCAATATGGGACAAACTTTCTGATTTGCTTGCTCTGCACTTCAAAACTTGAACAAAAAAGAGATAATGGTTAGCAACAGGGTCAAGGAAATTTAGTCTTATACTGTGTGAATATGAGGATATGTGTATGTACATATACACTGGGGGGTAGCACTCAGTTATAAGCATACTCAGTGTGTGTATTCTGTGTATACTGCCATACCCTGGCAAAGGGTGTAGCTGCTAAATAATACGGACAGTATAGAAAGTTTATCATTACATAAAGAATACACAATATTTTGGTGAGATTTTAGGGACAGTTGGAAGGAATGTGTTTTCTGAAGTTTTCTTAAACTCTCTTCTCTTATGAGATGAATATCCCTCTGGAACAGTTCTTGTACAGCTGAAGCATGCTATGGATTATGATATTACTAGTACCAGGGAAGTCTCATTAAATGAAATTATCTGAGTCTGGGTTTTATTTCATTTGTTCAAACCTACAAAGAAATTAAGCAAAATGGTCTCAAAGTAGCATTATAGATGCAAGTTTTAACTTCTAAGTCAGGAAGTGCAAATGTTTTGATTGTCATAATGATTTGAAACCTTCTACACTTTTCAGCATCGCTGATGACAAGGTAGACTGCAGCAACTCCACCTCAGCTGCACAATATATGTTAAATGACAGGTAGCAAGTAGAAAGCCACATTTATTTTCCTGCATTTGTGTATAACTTGACACCTTTCATGCAACACTAAGGGAATTTCTCTTTTGGTGTGACTCTGCCTTTGAGGTTTCACCATGTATGCAATGAAGAGACAAAAGATCTACTCACGTTGCTTGGCTAGTACAGCTATGACACCTAGCAGGACAAGCACAAGGGCTCCCAGGACCAGTGCCATGTAGAACCAGGCTGAGCGCCTGTGTTGCCAGCCTGGAGGGAAGTGGGAAGAAAAGTGGCTTTAGGTCTTTGCACTGTTAACACTGCCTTTATCTATGTGAGTTTCTTACGTGGAAGCAAGAGAGAGATCAGTCTGCCGTTTGCAAGCATGCAGGGACATTTTACTCATTAAGAATTTGCATCCATTTTACATACATGCAAGTGAAACTGAAAGATCATTTGGTCAGATAGAACAAGTGATTTTCAATCAATCACTCTATTAAGAATTCACTCTCTCTCCTCTGAGTTAATTTTCTCAGGCATTGCCTTCTGCCACCCACCCACCCACACCTGGCAAGACCCTGCAGAGCAGTTCAGGGAAAGCATCGGGGATGGTCTGTGGTACATTGCTCCTCTCTGGCTGCACTCTCTTGTGTTAACCTGCCTGAAAGCTAACTTACCTGAATTCACTGAAAAGACAACACAACACATACTGACACCATAGCACAGTGAAGTACATCTGACAAGCGTCTCTCCAGCTGTTTGACACTCGTCAGCTTGTGAGAGTGAATCACTCAGGAAGAGGCAGAGCCTGAGGAAATTTGAGGTCATGGTGCTATTTCCACAAGCCACAGGGTTGCACTTTCATACTGCTGTTTTCCTGACCTTGCCTGCATGAGATAGATAGGCAACTCCCCCACTCTCCAGCTGCCTGAGATATGTTTTGTAATGTTCCCTTGCAGCTTTCTGGGGGCCTGATCTTGCCTGGAACATGTCCTTCAATACAGGGAGGCTGGCAGTCCATCAGCACACTAACTGCACATGGGGAGCTGGGTATTACACTACTTCCAAAGCCAAAGGTGTCCCTGTTACTGTTCCTGCAGAGAAACTTAACAGCAGGGCTCCTAAAATCTGTGGAATTTTACTTTCCTTCGCTAAATTTTCAATGTAGGGCACAAAGGCATTTTTAAAAATTATTTTTAAAATCTCTTTCAATATTATTTTTATAGGGTAAATGTATTATCTGAGAACCCAGGAAAAGAAAAAAGAAACCTTATTAAGTGATAAATCAGTTCTTTATCGAGAGATTGTATGTAAAGACTCTTTGATAACAACTTTTACTGTTGGGTAATAGGAAAGATTACATCTATAGTTAGTAACCAACGGCCAAACAAAATAGCACACTACCAGAAGCGGAAGTCTCTGATCTGCTGCTCCTTTTGGGTTTCATCTTCACACGCAGTTCAGCATATGTGATCATGTTTCCTGTTAAGGAGTAGGGAAATGCTGACATTTGTGGTTGTACAAGCCATTAACTGGAGAAACAGTAAAGAATTACACAGAAGACCTAGTCTGCATAAAAAGGGGAATGTGTTTCCATAGCTGCTAGTTCAGCATTTTCTTTTAGGAAAAATCAGTTGAGATGATGACTGATCATTTCCTGCTGCTGCCAGGAAGTAACTAAAAGCCTCCTCCATAATCTCTGCTTGAACGACTTGTGTCCTGTATGGCTGGACCAGGAGGCAGGCAGACAGGCTAAAAGATGGGTAAGACCTGGGTACTATCCATCACAAATATTCCATTGTTGCTAAGCCACCTCAGGAGATATCATAGGGACTTAACAGCCATGACCCCTTTGTGGACCAGGGAGGTCCCAAAGGGAAAACTGCCACTCAGAGAAATGTTTCTGCAGCAAGGTGACTCCTGGGGGCATTCCTGACTTGTGAATGTTTACGCTGGGATATTATGTGATGCCTGTAATAGCAGAGGAAGGGATCTGGTGGTTGAAGATACCATTTCCAGGTGCACATTGCCAAAGCAACAACAAAAAAAAAGCTATTAAAACAGCATGGTGTGAGTTAGATTCTTTATGAAAACATTTAAAATTCTGTTTTATTGGGGTATTTTGTACAGCTACTCCCTGGTTTTATAGATGGTATTTGGACCTTTGGTAGACTCATCTTGATTTCATAAATGGTGAAATTTTACCAATCTGAATCAAGAATAAGCTTCATGCTACAGTCTTAGTTTGTGATCACTGGGGCTTTTAAAACAAAGCAAGCAATTTGTGTTGTGTAAAATCTCACTGATCAGGGAAAAACTTGGAAGAAGAGGGTCTTACTCTGTTAAATGAGGTAGTTTTTGATATGAGAATTACTGAAGTGTGTTGAGGTTTTGCAGTAAGAAAAATAGTGAGGACCTGAGGCAAATAAGATTTATTCATACAGGTAAGCTGTTCTGTGGTTTAGAGAACCTGACCTAGTACACTTTGCTGCTTGCTTTATTGCAATTTATTAGTTCAATGAATTGCAGAAGTGTGTAAGTTCTATTTACCTGCATGGATAAGTAACTGCTCTCAAAAGAAATGCTTATAAAAGTTTTTCTTCTTAGAGTGTAACTATTTTTCAAGCAACAGTTAGGACTTTCAAACTTTTCAGTGCACGAGCCTTATAAATGGAGACACTTCTTATAAAATATGTACTTTAGAAAATCTGCTCCTGTTACTAAGTATTTTCTCTCTCAAATAAAGATCCATTCCTTTAAATAACATCTCTCAGACTGTATGAAAAAGAAATTATTATCCACATGAACTGAATATTGAAAAAAAAGGATTACTTCTATCATGGTGTGTATTGGCACATGGGCATCTGAATGTCAAGTCCTCAGAAGGCAGCATTTTTAAAATACCACATAAACTTAATTTTACCGGATGCTTATGCTCCCTTACCTAGTTTAGCAACAGGTAGCCCTGGTATTAGGTGGAGATCTCTGTCACTTACTTATACTGAAATTTCACTTTATTTCTATATGCAAATTTTCAAGTGCAGAAAGACATCTCTATTTACTGGAAGGTTATACGTGGTGAATGTGCAGACAGGGAATGCTTCTGTCAGGTCAGTCACTCAGAAGTGTCAGGCTTTACAGACACCAGGCTCTTGGGTTTCACTGGACATCAGGTTGAGTGTGAGCCCACAATGCACCCTCATCGTTACAGATCATGCAAGCCACCAGCGGGGCTGAGTTAAGAGACCTCTGGCTTGCAAAGGAGGGGAAGTTCCTGTGCTGCTCCACTTGCTCCTGCTGCAGCCACACCTGGAACACTGTCTCCAGATGTGGTCCACTCCATTCTGGATGGACCTGGGGGAAACTGGAGAGGGTCCAACAGAGAGTGAGCCTGGTCAAGGATTGGACAGGCTGAGGATGGTAGGGAGGGGAACAAGAAGCTAAGGGGAGAACTAATAGCAGCCTACAACTATTCATGGGCTACTTTGAGAATGGAGTTGAACTCTTCTTGGTTTGTTTTTCTGCTAGAGGAAAGGTCTTATAGGTAATCATTTATGAATCATAATGAAGTAACTCTCAAATTATTCTTGAGTAAACTAGGAACTTGAGTCTTTCATTAGAAGATGGATTTCCAGTCTGTAATTATCTTTGTTTGCATTTTTGTAACACTTTTCTACTTTTGAACATCTGTTCTGAAGCACTTGCTAGCCCACCAAAGCATGTTCACAGATAGTACCAAGTACTAACTCCTCCTCAACCTGCTCTAGTAGAGCATCCAAAAATCACCTTGTCCTTGTAATTCAGAGCACCTGACTCACACCTGAAGTCCAACTGGTTGTGCAACAATCTGGTATGGATCTTCTCATTGGAACAGGATCACAACAAATCCATTTTGACCCCTTTTCTGGGTGCAGCCTCCCAAACTGGGAGCTGCAGACATTTTTTATTGATACATTGTGTTAAACATTATTTAACACAGTTTTCCCACTCTATAGATTTCAGTGAGTGAGCTTTCCTTGGCATTATATTGCGAATCTATGCATGTTTTGCAATTATGCCACCAGTGATTTTTATATCACTTTTCTGTACCCTCACAAGACTTGATGATCTTAAAGGTCTTTTCCAACCTAGTTGATTCTACGATTCCATGAAAATACATTGAATAGATTTTGAGATAAGAACAGAAACTCTGTAACTTGACCAAACCAAATCCCTTTAGCATGGATAGGGAAAAACAGAAAATATGATCTATAAAGAGACTTTTATTCTCAAATCCAAATTTTACATATTTAAAACACCTACTCAACTACTAGAAACCTTGGCAGAAATTCAGGTTCCTTCATGTTTACCTTTCATGTGTACCAGATCTTGACAGAAGCTACATGTTAGCAAGGTAAATTACCTATGCTCCCCACTCATAGTTTTTGGTATCTACTCCAGTATGCAGTTTACAGCCTAACTTACACAAAGTGCAGCCAGGAGGAGCTGGGCACATTCTACTTTCTGATAGCCTTGTGATCTTGCCTAAAGTCTGGGAATCTGCTACTCAGAGCATTCATCTGCTGAATCTGCAGTGGCATTTAAATCCAGCCCTCCCTCCCTCCTCCATGGTGACAGTTTTACCCCCTATGCAGTGCTTTCCCTCATGCTCATCTTGAAGCCGCTTCTGTTTTTTTGCAAGAAAGGCAGATATCCCTGGCCAAGAGCAACACCGGCAAAAAATCTGGCAAAGGTAGGGATGTGGGTATGAGCCATTCTCCAGCAGGCATTTCAATGTGTCGTAGAGACAGTGCCAAAGGGAGAGCTTGTGATGCTTGCCACAGCTCCCACCTTGGAGCTGAGAATCCTCACTTTGAGGATCAGATTCAAATTCCCATTCCAAAGGAGGAAGCATTGAAACCTCTTCATGAACAGTGGGACATGCTATAAGTGTGTTTGGCATGTGGATGCTGTCCTGTCTGAAGCAGCTTTGAGCCCAGTCAATGTAGGAGAGAGCACCTTCTAGCTCCTAGAGAAGAATCTAATTCCCAGAAATGGTTGACCGAGCAGCACCTTCTGACATTGCTCTATCCTATTATGCAGCCACTTTGGGCAGTTCATTGCTCACCATGCTAGGATCCCGGACTCTCCTCCGTTAGGTGTAAAGAGCTGCAGGGCATCTCAGGGAGTCATTACTATGCAGTGGGGAAACTTAACACTAACCACTGCTGTACTTACACTGAGCTTAAGTCTGTTTTATGAATATTGCTCAACATGTCCATCACATTTCAGGATTATTTCCTGAATTTCATACCAAGTATTTAAAAATTACAGAACTTATTCTGTGGAAAAAATCCATTTTCTCCCTTTCTTCCTGAAAGTTACTCTTTTCTTTTACAAGAATTTCTTGTCATAAAAGAACACTCACCACCTGGATGACTATGTGTGAATTTCAGTCAGTTTTAAAACATCAAGGAACTGGAATTGTTCATTTGCATTTTTAAAGCATGATGATATGGCTCAAGTTCTTGTCTGTTTTAATAGTGATAAAAGTCATGTTAATGTATGTTAATGATGAAGACAGAGAAAGAATTGTCATCAGGGAGGTATTTCTAGCATGTTCTATGCTTATATGAAGTCCAATATTGCTTAATACTATTTGGTGCTTTTTCCATTTGTGTCAAAGTAGAAAAATAATTGCTAATAAAATCCAAAATAACAGGAAGGTTAACAAACAATAAAAAAAAAAAAAGCCAGCCATAATGATAGCCCTGTAAGTTCAAGCCCTGTCAAACAAACCGTGTTTTAGTATAAGCAGACAAAGGTGGGGAGAGAGAAAGGGCAAGGAGACACCAGGCATTATAAACAGTGAAGGAAGGATTATTTAAGATACTTTTGTCTCTGTGTAACTGAGACAGAATAACTGCGACTTGTGGAAATACTGGGTGCATCTCTAGTGCCCGTATTTTGGTAGGAGATGGAAACACTGGAGAATGACCAGAAAAACTTCAGAAAGCTAGAATGAAAGACTTGAAAGCAAAAGAACACTGAGAAATTACTTTATTACTGTGGCCAGTAACTTCATGTGAGAATATACCGAGTGCCAAAAGCTATCTGATAAAGTCTTAACAAGAACTATCTAGATGTTAATGAGAACTTGAATTGGAAATTAAAGCCTAGCCTATTTAAATTGAAGTTTTTCCTTCAGACAGCATGATCAAGGGACATACTTTGATGTCTTCAAATCAAGATTTGATGTCTTCTTAGAAACTGGGTAAAATTCTAGGCAAACCCTCTGTGGTTTGTGTTGTACAGGTTATGGGAGTACAAACAACATCCATGGATGCATAAACATACAGTCTAAGGTAGTACTTTATGTTAGGTATATAATTAAGTGAACT